CCGACGAACTGCCCGCGCAGCCGCTCAGACGCCCGGCTCTTCGAAGGCTTCGGGGCCTTTGGTGGGAGCTCGGGGGAACTCGGGGGAACTCGGGAGAACTCGGGGGAGCTCGGGGGAGCTCGGGAGGGCTCGGGAGAACTCGGGGGAGCTCGGGAGAACTCGGGGGGGCTCGGGAGAACTCGGGGGAGCTCGGGAGAAGCCGAATCCTTTGGAAAGGCTGGCCGTTGACGTCGCTGCGCGTTCTGGGGGCGCAGCGGCGCATCAGGCTGCAACCAGCTCCCGTTTCCGGGGGCTCCCCCGCGCACCTGCACTGTGCGGTGGTGGGTCGGGGGAGGGCGGTCGCAAGTCGTCGTTCGGTGCCCACAGGGGTTTCGAGCGCGCTTTGCACTGAACTGGGGAAGCGCCACGTGTGCGGGTCCCGAGCGCCGCGGTGGGCACAGGAGGGGAGGAGAGGCGCCTCCTCCCGGAGCCGTGCCCGCTCGGCCCGGGCCGCCCTCAGCGGACGCATCGCGTGCAGGGCGGGCTGTCCACGAGGGCGCAGCCGACCGAGCTCGAGGGCCGAGCCCTTCCGGGGTCCGTCAGCGTCCCGAGCGGGCGGGAGCGCTTCGTGCTCCGGAGTCAGTGCGTCCTGCGCGCGAAGTTGCCTGACACTTCAGGTGCGGTGTGGCTGTCTCCTTCAAGAGTCCGGAGCAGGCCGTGGCTGGGACGCATCCGCCTGCTGCGGTGCGGTCACGGTCTGGGACTCCGGCTGCGCGGGGCACGCTGGCTCCTCGAAGTTGAGATCTGCGTCAGCGCGGGATGTCGCGGGTGCTCCAGAGCCGTCCCCTTCCTCGGAAGCGCTGTGTGGGATCCCAGCCCATCCGGAGGGCGCTGCCTACGGCCGCGGGGCTGTCTGGGGTCTCGGTCGGGTGGAGAGCGCTGAGCTTCCCACAGCCGCATGGGGGGCCCCTGGCACCACGCCGGTGGTCAGGCCCTGCTGCGTCCTGTCAGCGACGAGAGGCTGGCGCGGACGGGCGGCTGCCGGCCTGGGATGCCCTCGATGCGCCTCCTGGTCTGCGGGCTGCGACCTCCGCCATGCGTTCCCTGGAGAAGTGCGTCCGTTTCCGAGTGAGTTGGTCTCTTGCGTGTTTGAAGGCGGGTCTGGACCTCGCAGCTGACAGGGCCGAAAACGGCCTGTGTGTCCCGTGTGCACCTGCATCCAGACAGTGGGGGACGAGGTGGCTGCGCGGAAGGCACGGCCTCAGCTGCCTTGGCCACATGTGCGGCGGAGGGGAGGCCCCAGGATCGTGCAGCTGAACCCTTATGGAGCACAGGGTGGCATGCGGGAGGCAGCGGCTGTCCGTGCGCCGCCGGGGGAAGGAGTAGGGCCCCAGGGAGGTGCGTCTGCAGCTTTGCTGGCTCCAGCCTGGCGTTTTGGAGGGGAATTCAGGGCCTGGGTCCCTAGGTGTGAGGTCAAGGTCGAGGGGACACGGGCCATGGACAGGCACAGTCCGTGGGGCGGAGCTGCTGGTGCCCATGAGGGTGCGTGTGATGATAGAGGAGAGCATGTGTGTGGCTCTGGGCTGTGGGGCGGATGATAGCAGGTGTCTGAGAAAGCTGTGGTATCCGTGTAAGGTGCTGGCCTCGGGGTGATGGGACAAATAAGGGAGTGGGGGAGAGCCGTGCGACGAGGGCGGGCTGGCCGTGCACCAGCCGGACTCTGGTGAATTCCAGTCCCCTCTGGGCTCTGGAGCAGCAACATCACACTTGCTTCCATGTCAGTGAGTGTGCAGAGATGTGACAAGAAATGGAAGCCCAGCGATGGTGGATGAAGTGACCAAACACTGAAGATAACGTGACGCTCAGCAGAGAAGCATGGGCACGTTGAAGGGACGCCCGTTCATGTCTCCAGGATTCAAATGTCATTGAAACCTCGAAGCTCGTGCTTATGATCTGCTGTGTCTTCATTACCCAGCTTGCCTGGGTTCTGCCAATGTCTGAAAATTGGCTGTTTGTGCCAATAAACGGACGCCTCACCTGACATGACTTTCTAGTAGATCATCCTGGAGTGAGCCCGGTCTGTGGTTGAATGGTGGCATGCCCCCAGTGGTGCGCATGAGCGTCCGTGTAGATGGCTCACTGGTGGTGTGGACTGCGGGCGTGCGGCTCCTTCTGGAGCCCGCAGGGTCTCAGTGTCTCGGGTAATCACCAATGTAGAGTTGTTGAGAAATAGGCCAGGTGCATAGGAATCTTGTTTTTTTAACGCTGTGGTCCTTTTGTGATGGTAAAGTAGCTGTTTTTTGTCACATTGACAGGTGCATCTTTTGAGAAATGCCGGCGACGAAGTGACCATCACTGTTGAGTATCTCAGGGACGCGCCGTCATTTCTGAAGCTCCCATTAGGTAAGGGATGGCGAGATCTTCAGGGGCCCAGTGGCATTTCCTGCTCCCCACGCTGTTTATCCACATGGATGGCAGTAGCGGACGGGTGTGACTCAGGGCCCGAGCTCGTGCTCAGGGGGAGGAAGGACACAGATAGACACCTCAGCCGTACGTGTCCCCGAGACCCAGCATTTTCACACATCCCCAGGCCTTTCTAGAGAAGGTGCCCTCAGACTGCTGTCTGTCGATTGATTAGCTGTAAAGCTCCTTTCTCAGGTTGGCTTGTTGGTTGTAGTCACCTACACATACACACATACAGAAAAACTAAGTTTGCTCTTAAAATATCAATGTTGACTTGAGGAATTTATGCCAAGAAAGGGTTATAGTAAATCTGTACTGTGAAGTGCCTTCCCTACGCTCACACCAGGATTTAATTGTCTCTCGTGCCTAAGATGTGATCTAGTTGTAAGTGATGAATCACACATCCATGAGGATGTTTTATTCCAAGTAGTCACCATGACCTTTACTGACTCTATGCAACCGCCATGTTTTTACAACATGTGTGAGGTTATCTTCCTTCCAGGGGTTGAACAGGGGGTCAGGGTGCTGTCCTCGGCATCCAGAATGGGCATTAGGCACCTTCATGCTCACAGGGGCAGCGGCTCTGCTGGGGGCCCCTCGCAGTCAAGTCTCTGGCTCGCCAGGCATGGGCCCTGCCCCCCTTCCCTCATGTGCAAGAGCAGCCCTCACCCTGGGCTCACCCCATTTGCCTCGTTTCCTGTCCCTTTTCCCCTGCTCCCCTGCAGTGGAGCCCCCCGTCTGCTGCCGTCCGTGGGCCCAGGTGTGGCTCTCTGGGCACATCTGTGGCAGGAGGATCCTCGTTTGACAGCAGGTCGTTGAACTCATTCAGCTTTCTGCTTTCCCTCCCTGAGAACCTGGGCTGATGAATTTCAGAAACTGCATGTTTTCCTATCAGATCCCAGTGGGGTAACCTCACCCCTATTCACTGATCTTGGGAAAACGGCCATTCCTCTTGTTGCTCTACAAATACGTCAGGAAGATTTTCCGCATGGCCTACCTTCCTACAAGCCTGACCGTTGCGACTGGGGCATTCAATGAAAGTGCTCAGAGGGTTCTGGGGTCAGGAGAAAAGCCCACGGGGCTGGAGAAGTGGAAGGCAGTGCGCCCAGAGTATCGGAAGTGGGAGTATTAGCCATCGGGCCAGCCATCCAAAGACAAAGAACATACGTAGCACCGCGTCACATCCCGTGGGGTTTGGGGAATATGGACTGCAAGGGGAGCAGCCGCAGTGCAGGACGTATGCAGGTCTTGGGAGCCAGTGGGGCTCCAGTCCTGGCTGGACTGTTGGCACGGTCGCCCCTGGCCTGCAGGTGACACTGGTAGCTCCTCCAAGCTGCACTGGGTCCTGGGGCACAGGGACTGGAGCCTGCGGGCGTGTCCCGCAGTTTGAGTGAAGAGGTAGGCTGGCATGGGCCAGTCTGCTCGGCTGCAGGAATAAAACACCTCATCTGGGCGGCTTGGACAGCAGATGCATCTCGCTCCAGGTTCTGGAGGCTGGACGTCGGGTGAGGACCTGGTTCGTACAGGCCTCTCCTGACCATGTCCTCATGAGAGGAGGAGCAAGGGAGGCTGCGGGAGCCTTTTACAAGGTGACCTCGTCACCTCCCGCAGGCACCCAGCACCTTCATGTCAGGGGACTGGGGACACAGACATTCAGTTCACGACAGAGATGAGGTTCGGGTGAGACATGGGGGTTAGCCTAGGTGGGAAAGTGCAGCGGAAGATTCCTTCCCTGACAGCAGGAGGGCTGCAGAATTGTTTGTCCTCTTTCTTCTCAATCTCAGAGTGTTGTAAAGAAACATGGCTGGAAGAAGCTGATTGCACATGGCTTAGTGGTCTCCTGATGCTCTGGGCCTGGGTTCAGACTCTGTGAGCAAGGGCTTCACAGTGATTCTTTCCAGAAGAATGTAAAGGCCAGTGAGCATTGGGTGTGCATATGGATATCACGCATGTGGCAACATGTCCATGGAAGGCCACCAGGTGGTTTGTGTGTCCGCCTCTCTATCAGTTTGTCTAACTGCGCGTCTGTCCTGTTGGTGTCCTCGTGCGTGGCTGGAAAGCTTATCACGTAACATTGCAGCAGAAGGCACGGGGTGACGGGCGGGGCCTAGCACGTCGACACTGAGGACGGTCACGTGTGGGATTCATCTGCCGTGTCTTCTAGGGGAGGTTGACTTCTGTGGGAGAGTGCGATGGGTGGGGTTTCCAGGCCACCTTTCACTAACGTGACTGACAGCACAGAATTTAAACAACCACAGTAGCATCTTGAAGCTGTGGTCGGAGAGGGATGCCCGCAATGAAGCCTCTCAACAGGGAGCCACCCCCGGCCTGAGGTGGCCATGCCACCATGGGCACAGGAGAGTTGTGGAACTCTGACACATCAGCTGGAGCTGCTGGAGGCTGTTCTGTTGAGAGACGGATCACAATGATGCATAGCCAGCAGCCTCATCACTTCCCCCGTGCTACTGCGGATGTCCCGGCAACACCTGGCTGAGTCCTGCGGGACCTGCATGGTGAGCTCGGCTGGGCACATGGGTCAGCATTCCTGTAAAGGTGCTCACAGTTCCCATGGGGAGTAAGACGTGGCCTGCCACCTGAGCCACGTGAGCTCTGCCTCCCAGGCTTCCCACGTGGCAGGGACATTGAATTCTCTATCCATTCAGTATAAATGTCTGTTCTGCTGTTATTTGGTTCTTTATAATCTACAAGAGTTAGAACCTGGGGCGGAGCAAGATGGTGGAGGAGTAGGAGACCTGGATTTCGTCTGGTCTCAGGAATTCAGCTCAATAGGGATCAAACCATTCTGAACACCTACGAACTCAACAGGAAACCGAAGAAGAGAGTAGCAACAACTTTCTGAACAGAGAAGCGACCACTTACTGGAAGTAGGATGTGCGGAGAAGTGAATCCGAGATGATATTCGGGAGGATAGACGGCGGGGGAGGGGGACCTCCGTCGGCCGCTTCTGGCAAGTGACAGAGCCGCGGAGCAAAAAATCGGAACTTTTAGAATTCGGCTCCGCTGAGGGACGGCGCTCCAGTGGCTAAGCGGGGGGTGGAACCCTCACGGGACAGTGTGGTGCAGGACCCTCGGGGTCACAGAAAGACCGGGGGTGCCTGAGTGCGGCAGAGCTCCCAGGTATTGGAGCGGGGAAGCCGGCTGCAGAGATAGAGCCGAGGCGCGGGCTCTCAGCTCGGGGTGGCCATAAACTGTGATCCGCGGCCCAGTCGAGCTACAGCTCCTCCAGCAGGGACCCAACAAGCGGCAGAGATGGGGAGACTCCCCTTTCCTCCCCTGGGAAGAGCGGCGCGGGAGCGCACCACAGGGATCTGCTGGGTTTGGAGACTCCACACGGGGTCCGGTGCCAGAGATAGCAACGCTCGGTCACAGGCCGGGTGAGCACGGAGTGCGGCCGGAGACCGGGGACACGGGAGTGACTGCTTTTCTCTGGGGGCACACTGAGGAGCAGGGCCCCGAGTTCTCAGCTCCTTCCGGCGGAGATTGGGAGGAGGACACCATTTTCACCCTGGTCCTCCAAAGCTGTACCAGAGCTTGCAGGGAACAAAAGTTCCTGAGAACAAACCCAAGCAGCTCGCTTTGGCCCAGACCAACAAGGGCGGGGTAATTCCGCCTCCGGCAAAGACGTTTGGGAACCACGGCAACAGGCCCCTCCCCCAGAAGATCAGCAGGAACAGCCAGAAAGCCAAGACCAAGTTGACCGATCAAGGAGAACGGGAGAACTCCAGCGCTAGGGGAATACTGCACATAGAATTCATAGCTTTTTTACCATAATTCATTAGTTTTTCAAAGTTAATTTTTTTAACTGTTTTTTTTAATTTTTCTTTTTCCTTTTTTCAAACAACATCTTAACAATCCCTTTTTTAAAAGAAATATTTTTTATTTTTCATTTTTGGAGTCATATCTTTATCCCTCCATAGTAGTTACCCTTATTTTTGGCATATATATATAAGTTGTTTTTTCTTTAAAATTTTGAGATACAATTTCTTCTAACAGATCAAAATATACCCGAAATCACTAGTGTATGGCTTTGTTCTATTCTCCTGCCTGATCACATTCTCTCCCTTTTTTTTTTCTTTTTTTTCTTTTTTCTTTTTCTTTTTAAATTTTCCTCTTTCCTTTTAAAAACAACTTATCAATTCCTTTTATAAACTCTTTTATAATTTTCATCTTTACAGTCATCTGCCATCCCTTCATTGTATCAACCCTTATTTTGTACATATGTCTTTCTTCCTTTAAAATTTTAGCAGGCACTTTGTTCTAACAAACCAAAATATGCCCAGAAGGTAGTGTGTGGCACTGATCTGTGCACTAGCCTGATCATATTTGATCACATTCTGTTTTTTGTTTTGTTCTGTTTTTGTTTGTTTTTAGCTTTTCTTTTTCCTTTTTTTTTTTCCTCTTTCTTTCCATTTCCTGTACCCTGGTTTCAGGTCTTTTCTGATTTGTATACAGTATATTTGCTGGAGACGTTGTTAACCTGTTAGCATTCTATTCTCTCATTCATCTGTTCTCCTCTGGACAAAATGACTAGACGAAAAAAATCACCTCAGCAAAAAGAACAAGAGATACTACCATCAGCCAGGGACCTACTCAATACTGACATTAGTATGATGTCGGACCTAGAGTTCAGAATCATGACTTTAAAGATACTAGCTGGGCTTGAAAAAACTGTGGAAGTTATTAGAGAAACCCTTTCTGGAGAAATAAAAGAACTAATTCTAACCAAGTCGACATCAAAAAGGCTATTAATGAGGTGCAATCAAAAATGGGAGCACTAACTGCTAGGATAAATGAGGCAGAAGAGAGAAACAACGATATGGAAGACCAAATGATGGAAAACAAAGAGGCTGAGAAAAAGAGAGATAAACAACTACAGGATCACAAGGGCAGGATTCGAGAGATAAGCGATACGATAAGACAAAACATTAGAATAATTGGGATCCCAGAAGAAGAAGAAAGAGAGAGAGGGGCAGAAGGTATATTGGAGCAAATAATAACAGACAACTTCCCTAATGTGAGGAAGGAAACAGGCATCAAAATCCAGGAGGCACAGAGAACCCCTCTCAAAATCAATAAAAATAGGTCAACACCCTGACATCTAATAGTAAAACGTACGAGTCTAAGAGACAAAGAGAAAATCCTGAAAGCAGCTCGGGAGAAGAGATACCTACAATGGTAGAAACATTAGATTGGCAACAGACCTATCCACAGAGACCTGGCAGGCCAGAAAGGACTGGCATGATATCTTCAGAGCACTAAATGAGAAAAATATGCAGCCAAGAATACTATACCCAGCTAGGCTGTCATTGCAAATAGAAGGAGAGATAAAAAGCTTCCAGGACGAACAAAAACTAAAGGAATTTGCAAACACAAAACCAGCCCTACAGAAATATTGAAAGGGGTCCTCTAAGCAAAAAGAGAGCCTAAAAGCAGCATAGACCAGAAAGGAACAGAGACAATACACAGTAATAGTCACCTTACAGGCAGTGCAATGCCACTAAATTCATACCTTTCAATAGTTACCCTGAATGTAAATGGGCTCAATGCCCCAATCAAAAGACACAGGCTATCAGATTGGATTAAAAAACAAGACCATTCAATATGCTGTCTGCAAGAGACTCATTTTAGACCCAAAGACACCCCCAGATTGAAAGTGAGGGGGTGGGGGCGCCTGGGTGGCTCAGTCGTTAAGCGTCTGCCTTCGGCTCAGGTCATGATCCCAGGGTCCTGGGATCGAGT